ACATCCAATTTAAGCAAACTGTTAAGTTGGCTGTGTAGCACCCAGGTGATACATGATCCCACCTCTTTGAATTTTGACTTCTGGGGGTGCCTCTCTCTAACTGATAATGCCTAACTCTTAGACAACTCAAATCAGTACAGATTTATCCTAGCATTAGAGTCTAAACTCTATTAACTATGTCTGCAAATATGCAAATGTGGGGATGTTACTCGAACTCTGAAATGTAAAAAAAAAAGTGTATAACTTCTTTATTTCCAGGTCTAAAAACCTGAGTTTATATAACGTAAGACCACATGTAAATATACACACGTGCTTTTGCTGTCATTCATGCACTTCTGTATAAACTTATCATTTAGTAATACCTACATGTACACACACAGACAGATGTAGGGGGAGGTAATGAAAAATCTAACAGGTTTAAATGTTTTAAATGTCTGCCTTAAAATGATAAACATAGGACCCTGACCTCTGTTAACTATTACTGGAATTTCCTTCATTTTCCCTTCCAAAGTATGTAGTGTGTAGCTGAGTGGCTTATATCCACTTGATAGGTGACCAGGTAAACAATCCACTCAATTGGAGTGAATAATAAAAACTAATAAAAAAAATAATGACAAAAAGACATGTTGGTTTGGGTTTTGCTTGCTTATTTCTGGTAAGGGTATAGAATCAGTTATAAGACAATATGGTCCTTTGTGTATTTTTTTCCTTTTGTTTTACTGGATGTTCAAGAAAATCCTAGGAGTGGAAAGTACCTTCAAACATCCTTTGTGAAAGACTTGAGCTCAGGCTGATGGCTACGGGTGGGTCTGACCCCCCAAATATGGCTTCACTTCAGCCCCTGCTCAACAGGCTGGTGTTGCAGTACTGGCTTGCTGCTCATAGATATCTTCTTGTGGCATAATGGAGCTAAATATGGAATAATTTATTTCTTCATTGGGTTAATTAATCTGTGTTGTCCTCATTGGTGTCAAAGCCTGAGCTGGCATCTCTAAGTTTATTCAGGTTATCTCTGTTCTGCACCCACTGCCCTCATTCTCATGAGTTACTGGTCTCTTCTCTCATGGCTTCATCAGTGCTATACAAAGTGCAATCTGAGTGCAAAAACCTCTCATTCTGATTGCAAAGAAAGTGACATTTACTATACATGGAGGTAACTGTCAAAGAGAAATTATTGTTTCAGTGCTAAATTGCAATTACAAATGCTGTTGATTTCCCCTACTTTCCATTTCTGCTTAAGGTTTTGGGAGAAGAGAGATTTAGAAGATCATGCCTCATCAAATTCAAATTTTTCACAAGAGAGCACATGAAATCTAATGGTGTCAAAATCTCAAAGGAAGCCTCAGTTGGGTTAACTCTGCTACACAAAGGTATAAAGAAAGTATAGGAGCTGGCAGATGTCAGAGAAGTGCAATTTGACAAAACCAAGAGAATGAAGGACCAGAAAGAGAAAACTGATAAATAGTAAGAATACATTGGATAGGTGCATAGACAGTAGGTTCAGCACAGACTGATGGAGATTATTTCTCACAGTCTGTACTTTGCTATGGTACTTCTTATTGAGTAGTATTGTGTAAGTTAAAAATACCTTTCAATTATGGAGAAAATTCACTGGGGAGGAAAAAAAATCCCCCCCCGGCTCTATTACATGCAAATATGTAACCTTTTGTTCAGGCTGTTCCTCAACCACAAGATGCTGTACAATTAGTACACATTTGCCCATTTCTTATGCTGTTTCCTATATACTGCTATTGACCTTGGTTGGAGATAGGATAAAAGGCCAGATAGACCTTGGATATGACACATAAGAAGCTCTTGTCATGTTCTTAAGGCACAAAGCGTGTTCAGAAGTCACCAGGGACACCACATGTCTGGAAAGTCTTCTGTAAGTACAGTTGTAGTGAGGCAGAAAACAAAGGGATGGTTTGATTCACGGCTCAGGGAGTAAAATCATACCTTAATGACACACCAGTAGAAGAGTTTAGTTTATTTTTCAGTCATTAGTTGGCTGAAAGCAGTTGTCATGGTTATTCTAGCTACTGTGGGAAAAGAGCAGGTTAGGGAATATTTGAGTTAATTTACCTCTTGTATGAAAACAGTCTGAGAAGGCTGGGGTTGTTCAGCCTGGAGAAGAGAAGGCTTTGGCGAGGCCTTAGAGCCCCGCTACAAGAGAGCTGGAGAGGGACTTCTGACAAGGATGTGGAGTGATAGGACAAGAGGGAATGGAATCAAATTGATTTAGATTAGGAATTGGGAAGAAATTATTTACTGTCTTAACTGTAAGGGTGGTGAGGCACTTGTGCAGGTTGCCCAGAGAAGCTATGGATGTCCCATTTCTGGGAGTGTTCAAGGTCAGGTTGGACGGGGCTTTGAGCAACCTCATCTAGTTGAACGTGTCTCTGCCCACAACATGGAGGTAGTAAGTAGATGATTTAGGTTCCTTCTGACCCAAACCATTCTATGACTCTAATTGTTTTTAAGTCACCAAGGTTGATGAATTTCACCTTTGAGGTAGTAGGCAGCTGGCTGAAACAATTTATCTGTGATCTTGGAGGAGTCAAGGAGGACAGGTATTTTTGACTTCTATCCAGTTCAGATATCAACATTCGCCATTTCTTGTTAACAAAACCTTTAAAGTAGAGCAGAAGCTGTGATCTCACTGCAGGATCCAGCAGAAGACAAAACTGGGTTGCACAGAGAGAATTTAAGCTTTCAAAACCCAAACAGAAATGTGGGGGGAGGGGAAGTGGACGTCACAGAGGCCGCTTTTTTTTAATAGTCCTTTTTAAAGTTTTTCATGTTTCTGCTTTCTTCTCTCTAATGAATTTGCCTCCCTCCATTACTCATCCTTCTGACTTTCTGTATTTAGTTCAATGTATAGCATCCATGCAGCACCATGAGACATGCAGAAAAAAGTTTATGTTTTTTTGTCAGAGTGGTGACAAATGTAGAAGAATGTCAAGAAACAATTAAAGGATTGTATAAAACTGAGAATAACAACAACAACAATAATAATAATAATAGAAAGGACTAGCATTTGTTTTTTATTTAAGATATCTGATTGACACCAATTAATGGTAATAAGATTGACACAAAACCAAACTCTTTCCAGCAGCATAGTCAATTCCAATGTGATTAGATATCTATGATTTCTTGCTCTTTCAATAATAATTGGGCCAAAGATTGAATTCTGTACATTGCATGCTGCGATTTAGGAGCTGAAATGAACATTGAACAGTGTCAGGCACTGAGTCTATGCATTGACATGCAAAGCCACTCAGACAGCCTGCTTCTTTTAAAAAAAAATCAATATTGACAGTTGGAGTATTAGCATATTGGCACTTTATAAGTAAACTATTCTACAGTTGCTGTCAGCAGGCAAAAGTGTAAAGATCCAACTGATGTGAGACATGGTTAAACTGCAGCTCTGTGCTGTTTAAACAAAACTTTTTCATCAATCTTAAGACTGGCTGCAGTTGTTTTAATATTAATAAGCAGATTCAAGTCTTATGTTCTTAATGTTTAGGCTGAAGGAAGCGCCATTTTTCTGAGCATTTTGCTATGCAAATTACATAGGAACATTTTCATGATATTAGGTAATTCAGTATTAGATTTATTTGCAATTCCAAGTGGAATGGTGACGTTTGAGCTGAATGCAATTCTGAAAATCAGCACTAATGCTCTGCTGGGTTTATAGTTTCCTACATACTCTAAGCAATCAAACAGTTCTGCAAATGTACTCTTTAACGAGTACCTCCAGAATGCCACTTCATTAAACATCTTCTTGGTGTTTGTTACATTTTCCACTTCATATTGCTACATTTAGTTGTGAAATGACCTCTTGTAGCAGTGAAAATTTATTAACTCTTCAACCCAATGTCACACAGATGAAAATAAAAGTCAAAAGGGAAATACAAAAATGCATGTTTTTTTTTCTTTGCACATTTTTGGATATTGGTGGCACTGCCTTCATCCTCCTAGGATGACAATTAGTGTTGTAGGTCCATTTCTCTTCTGGCTTTCTGTTAAGTAACGTGGGACTAATTTTGCCCTCAAATACTGTATGCATACACTTAAGGTCCAAATTTTGTGCTTTTTGCCATTTTACTTTCTATTGTGCAATATCCATTACAAATCTGAAGCCAGATTTACCTATCCCATGAATTATTACCAAACAAGAACGTTTAAATGAGTTCCCATGTAAGATGCTCTGAAGAGACTTGATGTATTAGAGTAACAATTCAGTTCTTGTTCTTCTCACTTCTAAAGTGGAAGCAAGACTCAGCAGCCCTTTAGCCAGCACAGTTGATTCCTTGCTCAGCACTGTGTTCCCATTAACTCAAGCGTTTAGAGGTTAGAGAAAAGACTTGTAGTTAATGGGGAGTAGGGTGGTTGTCCATGAGCAGATTTTCCTCTTTTCCAGATGGTTACCTGCAGTTTGTCTGATATCAACACTTCATTGTATGGAAATGTAGCTGGACCTGCAGCTAAATACACCTTGCCCAGTGCACCAACAGTTAGTCCCACTCTATTAATTTAGGGGAAGAAAGCAAAGCTATCATGATGATATCCACTGGAAGTCTAAGCTGCTGCACTCCTCTCTGATGGTCACTGAGCGGAGTTTAGCTCTGCCCTATCCGTAAAGAAGCAATGCCTCAAGTACCTTGTTTCCACTATTGCCACTATGCAGGTTTAAGCACTCTCTCCAGAACAGTTCGGAACACTGAAATAAATCCACAGCTCTCAAAGCCATTTATTCTATAACAGCGATGAATGTGTTATGGTCATATATTGTGTGGCCCAAACGTTTAAAAAAATTTTATTTAAAATTAAGTACTGTGTGCTATTTTAATTCTACTATCACTATAGGATGGTGCTGCACAGACCTTTAGACTTTAGCCATCACCATAATACCCAGATTAAAATGATCAAGATCAAAAAGAGAAGCCTCTTTGTCAGCTTAACTTTCTGAAAGGTCTAGAAATGGCAATTTAAAATAGTTGAAATATTTTATTAAAAGTCCAACCAAAGAGATACATTTAAGCAACATGAACTCTTCATTTTAAAAAGAGATATATATTAATTATATCAAATGTTGAGTTGTACTGGTGGAAAAAGTGTTCTGAACAGATAGGAGAACATGGCATGAAAAATAATCAGGCACTGTTAGACACATACAGAGAACTAATCTCACCACTCCATTTTATAATCTTTGTTTCAAGCAATATCAACAAAGATTTTGTCTGCAAAGGATCTACAGGATTTCTAAAAGACTAAATTCTATTTTTATAATATGAATGTAAAATAGCAATAAAAGTACAAGTAAAATGAAATTGGCTTAAGATTTTTTTCACTGAATTTTATCTTCTCTAATATATTGCTAAGAACAAGGAAAAAAAGGAGTAAATCTTTTGAGAAAGCAATAATTTGATAGCCAAGATGAAGATAGTTCTCTAAGAAATTTTTAAAGAATTAAATATACATAACCACATTTCATAGAAACAAACTGGTTTTTAGGTTTAGGATATAATTTATAAATATTACAAAATAGAAAAGTCATGTTTTGGGTACTGATCATAGCTTTTCCCCATTGCTTTCCATTGCAAAATTATGACTGACTATAAATTGACCTGTTTCTGAAATTTATGTGCTTAGAATGAACAAATGTCATTAACTTATTTGTCTATTGTAGTCCATGGTGGCGAAAGCAGGTACAAAAGTGAGTAGAAATTTAATAGAAAATCTGCATTTCCAATATATAGTGCAATAAGGAAATAATGAAAGGGACCAGATAAAAGTTACTGAGAGTCAGATTTTGGTGGTGCCTCCTCTCAAAGACTGTTCTTATCCCATGTACTGTCCAAAAGCAGAACTGTCCCCGTCCCCAAAGCAGTGCAAACTGCACATCTCACTATATAGTTTTCCCACAATTACTGTTTTCAGAATATTCCACAATGCAGATAAAGACACTTTTCTTTTTGTTGCTAACATATGTTGTTTCCAAAGCACCCAGAATTGTAGATTCTCAAGAATCAGTAATTCATCTTAAATGCTTTTATGGAATGCAGCTAAAAAACATCATCTGCAAAACAAAATAAAACAAACAAACATAAAAACAAGTTAGCATTAACTCTATTACAAAATAAATAACATAAACTACTCCTCTCCACAGAAGTCAAACAAAATAATCCATGATGTAAGTGTTACCTTTCTGAACTCACTTTCCACTTCGGATACTAAGAGAAGCAAAAGAAAAAGGATTAGTTCTAAGATGTGGAAAACATTATCTAATGGTTGTGACAATCCCATTTTTTCGTATGTTCTCACTTATATAGATACTTTAAAAAAAGATGTACAAAATAGGGTGGAAGTGAACTACGTTTTCATTCCTCTTTTTTTTTTTTTTGTAAGAGCAAAAAGAGGAGAATCCAGAATGGCAAACTTTGACCCTGGTGCCATCCACTGAATTCTCCACTTAATTTTTTATTCAGAAATTAATTTAATTGAAATATATTTCTGAATGGGAGGTGTCTACGTGAAATTATATAGTAGCTTTTGCAGAATTAATGGCCTCTTTCATTGCAATTGTGGAACATCATGCAATTCTCAGCACAGATCAAGTACATCAATTTGGGCTTTCTTAGCAGCTCTGTAGCAGGAGGTAGCCAGTGGTCAGACCTGCAGGCGGCACAACTCATAGACCTAGCAGAATGTTTCTCTCTCAGGCTGCTCCATGGAGCAGGGATACCTCAGTATTCATGGAACCTTCTTAATGATGTATTTGACACAGCCTGCTGAAAGTTTGAAGGCATAATTATGGTCCTCTTCAAATTCAGTTAAAATTGAGTTCTTCTTGGAACTGCTCTGAGACTATTCCATCTTCCTGACATGGGGGCCAGTCTTTGCTGGCTACCCACTATTGTACATCACACCCATCAGTCCCTCAGGAAAAGGAGGCAAGAAGAGCTTCCCTCTAATCCAGAGACTGAAAGTGAAACCTGTTTTCTCTTGATCTTCCATTCTTTCACACCATGTTGATAGTCCTGTGATTTACTTTTCCTAAATTCTTTTTAGGATCTGGAAGTTCTCCAGTAGCAGGGTTTTAGTGGAAAATATTCTCTCTGCCCACCTTACACAGCTGTGGTGCAGGTTTATACCATCTTGAATATTTTGGGTATTTTTGTCTTAGGAGGGAAAGAAAATAAAATCCACAGCCCCAAAACTGCATGACTTTTTGAGTAGCTTAGGCTCCAGTGAACCATAGAGAATAGGTAGGATTTGTCTTGGAATTGTCCAGATGGTCTCAGTTAGACAGCAGAATGTATTTCTTCTTTATAGGTTGTCCCACTACACTTCTAGTAAAGAGCTTGAAAACAGGATTGAGCCAAAACTTTTTAGTTTATCTTGATTCCAGGAGCCACAACCTTTTTGTGATTCTCATCTGAAATAAGAAATCAGCATAGTTGGGTATCTGAAAATGTCAGTGACCCCAGCCTAGGCTCCTTGCTCATTACAGAACATAAAACCAGCTAAGGTCTTACTGGTTTTGAGTTTAATTCTATGGCAAACTGACAACAATTTTCACTTTCTAATACCTGTCTCCTGTAAAGTAACAGTTCTTATCCTTACACAGTGTATACTTACTTGCAAACATCATTTATACCAGGCTATGGAAAGTAAGCATTTAATTCTCAGCAGTTTTTAGAATGCCATTACAGATTGTATTTGAATTTATATATTACACAAAGAGTAATTACATGAATTATGTTCATGTAAAGCAATGATGATGATGATGATGGTGATAAGATCAAGCAGAAGATGTGTGAACGTAAATGCTTGCTCCTTTATTTTTAAACATCAGATGAGCTAAATGGAAGCTCTAGTATCTTTTGGGGATCATTTTGTTAACTCAATATAAATAATTCTTTATGTTTTATTGTCCATTTGGAGATACAGTATATCACAGTCAGATGTTCTTCACAGTGCTGATATTACAGCAGCACTGATATCGTCACTTTATTGGTAACTAATTAAGAAACACATTAGGTAAGATGTCTTTAAAATGCAAAAGCAAGAGAATGTTTAAAAGTTAGTTGGTCTCATCAAGCCTTGTAGGTACTTACCTTGTCTGTTCTCAAGTCTAGTGCAGCACAGTAGACTTCAATATTTTAATACTTAAAGAGGGCTTGTGATACAGGTGGCGACAGACTTTTTAATAGGCCCTGTAGTGACAGCATGGGGGGAAATGGTTTTAAGCTACAAAAAGATGGGTTGCAGACTAGACAAAAGGAAGACTTTTTTTTTATGATGAGGGTGGTAAGGCCCTGGCATAGGTTGCCTGGAGAGGTGGTGAGTGACTCATCCCTGAAAACATTCAAGATTAGGTTAGACAGGGCTCCGAGCAACCTGATCGAATGTCAAATGTCCCAGGTCATTGCAGGGTAGTTGGACTAGATGACCTTTAAAGGTCCAAACCATTCTATGATCTGCAGCCTCTTGGGCTTTCTCACCTTTGCCCATCTCATAAAATCTTCAAGAAGATATAGGCTGGACTGGATGTGGCACTCTACAGTGCATGGACATGATGCAAAAACCAGCAGAGGAGTCAGAGGTACCTCCTATCTGTTCTTTGCTGTATTTTCTTCGGTAATTCAATGGGAGCATAGTAAACACAGGCTTACATCACACCTTTACCTTCCTGAGATTTATCCCTTCCTGCAGCCGCTCGGGACATGCCCTAACCCTGATGCCCCAGGGTGTGAGACCCTCTGAAGCCCACAGCATCTGTCCTCTGTATAAAGTACTTCAGATTTTCTGAGCTGGGAAGGGAGAGGCTGCAAGTTGGGCAGTAGATGAAGAAGGAGGAAGGGCTCAACAGTGAAATGTGTGTCAGAAGTGAGGTCAAATCTCAGCTGCTGTGATTCCTTCACATAAAATCCAAATGAGAGAAGAGGAGGGAAGAGGTAGGGCACCACCAGGGCCTTTCTATATGTGATGTAGGAAGAAAATTCACATTATTTGGCACCAGCTGTGCTAGGCATAGCCCAAAGTCAAGCTTTGCGTGCTGAGACTCAAAAACACTTTGGAGGTGGGGATTGATAGGATGGCTGCATCACAGTATGTCCAAGTAAGATATGGTACCTGTTGCTTTAATAAAAAAGCACAGAGGAAATTGTAGAAAACAGCAAGAACAAGCTCTTGAACAGGGTCAGTAGGTCTTCTGCCATAAACCTTCCTCAACAATTTGGCTCCATGACGTGGAGGAAAAGCAGTGTTTCAGTCCAAGCTGTGATGAATAGACCTAGTTGGAAGGAGTTACAATGGTTACAATACATTATAAAATCATTTGTAATTTATAAGAAGAAGAAAAGATCAAGGATTCATTCCACTAACCTCAAACAATTTATTGATATTAAATCATATTAAGTCCCTGTTATTTTCTTGTATTTGGCATTTTCTTCTGGATGTTGATTCTGCTCTGCTTTGGCCTCCTGCCAAATGTACATCAAGTCAGTTCCAAACGCCATCTCCCCTATAAAATATGAAGTGAAATAATTATATTTCAGAACAGTGTATAGAAAAAAATATGGGCAGGTGTAGGGTAAACCCATAGCTTTAAACAGATATATCACATGAACTGTTTGATTAGACCATGTATAAATAATAGGTTCATCTATACAATTCACACACATGGGACATAAAGATAGCTCAGGGACCTCAGTAACCTGTTTGTTGTGAGTCTGAGAGACAAATTCTTATACATCTGCTTAGCCTCATATTTATTTTCAGACTAATGCAAATAACGTCTTCATGTCATGTAACTATTGTCAGAGAGAGATAAATCAAGAAAAACTCCACTGAACTTAGACCTAGTCACAGCTGTAAGAACAGGAGCATGCTTGCATATTTAGGTATATATTGCATTCAGGATTAAGCTATAAAATTCCCAGAGTGGTTACATTTTTTATTTAAGATTTTTTAAAAGCCTTTTGGTTCATTATAATCTCTAATTAGTATCTGGAGAAAGAGTCACACACTCTTCTCTAAGAAAAATTCTTTTTGATTTAGTAAGAAAAATAAGATATTTTGGCAAAAGGTTCTTACAGGAGTAAAATACAACCAAGAAAAATGCATTTCACTATGCTTCATGTTCAGCACGAAGACCCATTCCACAGGAAACTCTCACTAAAACAATCCATATATCAGGTTTAGTAAAACACAATTCATTGATTTTAAGTTACCCACAAGAGAAGGAAAAGAGTAAAAAAATAAAACAGATTAAAAGGGATAAAGAAAGAAAGAAGAAAGAGAGAAGGAGAGACAAAAAAAGGAAAAAAAAAAGGTTACTGACAAGATTCGGTGATTCACATGGTGCCAGCTGGAGAGGGAGAAGAGAAGAGGGAGACTGCATGGAGTCTTGTGTATTTATAGAGTTCAGTTTTCCCTCCCAGGCAGGATATCACACAGCATGTACGGGATGGACAAAGGATTAGACCCAGCCAACATGGGTTTAGGAAGGGCAGGTCCTGTCTGACCAATCTGATCTCCTTTTATGATCAGGTGACCCGCCTGGTGGATAAGGGGAAGGCTGTGGATGTGGTCTATCTGGACTTCAGCAAAGTCTTTGACACCGTCTCCCATAGCATTCTTCTGAAAAAGCTGGCAGCCCATGGTTTGGACAAGGCTGGGTTAAGAACTGGCTGATGGCTGGGCCCAGAGAGTGGTGGTGAACGGGGCTGCATCCAGTTGGTGGCTGGTCACCAGTAGTGTCCCCTGGGGATCGATCAGTGTTGGGTCCAGTTCTGTTTAATATCTTTATTGATTATTTAGATGAGAATACCATTAGCAAATTTGCAGATGACACCGAGTTGGGGGAGAGTGTTGGTCTGCTAGAAGGCAGGAGGGCTCTGCAGAGGGACCTGGATAGGTTGGAGAGTTGGGCTGATTCCAGCGGGATGAGGTTCAACAAGGCCAAGTGCTGGGTCCTGCACTTTGGCCACAACAACTCCCTGCAGCGCTACAGGCTGGGCACAGAGTGGCTGGAGAGCAGCCAGGCAGAGAGGGACCTGGGAGTTTGGATTGACAGGAATCTGAACATGAGCCAGCAGTGTGCCCAGGTGGCCAAGAAGGCCAAGGGCATCCTGGCCTGGATCAGGAACAATGTGGCCATCAGGACCAGGGAAGCGATTCTTCCCCTATACTAACCAGTGGTGAGGCCACATCTGGAGTGCTGTGTCCAGCTCTGGGCCCCTCAGTTCAGGAAGGATATTGAGGTGCTGGAGCAGGTCCAGAGAAGAGCAACGAGGCTGGTGAAGGGACTCGAGCACAAGTCCTATGAGGAGAGGCTGAGGGAGCTGGGGTTGTTTATCCTGGAGAAGAGGAGGCTCAGGCAAGACCTCATCACTCTCTACAACTCCCTGAAAGGAGGTTGTAGCCAGGTGGGGGTTGGTCTCTTCTCCCAGACAACTGTGAGTAAGACATGGGCATGGTCCTAAGCTCTGCCAGGGGAGGTTCAGATTAGATATTAGGAAGAAATTCTTTACAGAGAGGGTAATCAGGCATTGGAATGGACTGCCCAGGGAAGTGGTGGATTCTCCATCCCTGGAGGTTTTTAAGATGAAACTGGATGTGGCACTTAGTGACATGGTCTAGTAACCACAGTGGTCTTGGATCAAGGGTTGGACTTGATGATCTCAGAGGTCTTTTCCAGCCCTCTTTATTCTATGATTCTATATCCAGTTAGTGCTTTCCAGGCCAGAGTGAGTTGTGCTGTAGCCAGTCCCAGGCTTCAAGGGCGTAGTGTGGGTGGGTTACCAGGCTGCTCTGCCTTGACCGACAGTCTGGCGGCAGGGCCTGCAGCTCTGCCTGTGCTCTGTGTGGGCAGCAGGCCTTGCCCTCCAGCTCTGCCCTGTGCCCTCAGCACAGGCCTTATGTGCAGGTTTTGCCATGTTCCTGCAGGTCCAGGCCCAGCCCTTCCTCACATGCACACACACACTCACGGTGAGGTGGTTTCAACCCATATCAACAATTCAGTGAGATTCGGATCCAGGATCTCACAGTATACCAATATCATTAACTATTTCGCTGAGTTTCTTCTAGGGGCAATGTTGGGTCTCACAGTCCCCAGGTGTTTTATTGACTCTTCAGAAGTTAATCAATGAGTTGGATGTATTCTGCAAGCTTTATAATTCACTGTATTTTAGACTTACTATTGTAAAATAGTATTACGAGTTAATATTCAGAATACATTCAGAAGATACGCAAATAAAGCATTAAGAGCTTTAGAGTTGGCTTATTGATGAAAGTACTACTAATTAAACCAATTAAGAACACATTAAATCTCATAAGAGGGCCAAGTCAGCTTAATTTTTTTTGTGAGTAAATGGGTCACATCATTCAGCAATATCAATACTAATTGATTAATATGTTCTACAAATGCACAGGAAATAGCAGAAGGCAGGAATCCGATAATTTTAAAATGAGACTGGTGAAAAATGGTCTTAGCTGAGATGGTTTTAGCTTCCTAATTTTAATCAGCTAAATTAAAACATTTTATCCTATCACCTGTAAGTAATATAATTAATATGTGCAAATTAACTAAAATCTCCTATATCCTAATTGACTGAGTCCAATCCTTATCCTTTTGCACTGAAAACTTCTGTAATACCATCAGACACATTAAAAACATAGCAAAGCACCTTGAAATATTTTCTATATCTGTCCCTACAAAATGTAACTTTAGTATAACAAAAATAGCTTTTAAAAAAAGGAAAAAATTAGTTACAAATTTAAAAATTGCTTTCTTGATGAAATTCTGTGTATAACATGATCAAAAAGAGAATACGAACAGAGCAGAAATTTTGGAAAATGTTACGAGAAAAAAACTGTTGACTCCCTCAAAGGCAGGGAGACCCTGCAGAGAAACCTTGACAAATTAGAGGACTGCTGAATCACCAACCATATGAATTTCAACAAGGGCAGGTGCTGGATTCTACACCTGGGACAGGGCAACCTCAAATGTACATATGGACTGGGAAATCAGAAGCTGGAAAGCAGTGCCGTGGAAAGGACCTGGGGTCCTGGCCAATGGCCAGTTCAATATGAGTCAGCAGTGCCCTGGAAGCCAGGAGGGCCAACCATGTCCTGGGGGGCATCAGGCACAGCATTGCCAGCTGGGCAAGGGAGGGGATTGTCCTGCTCTGCCCTGCGCTGGAGTGGCCAGTTTGCACTGCAGTTTTGGGCACCACAATATAAGAATGTCATTAAGCTATTACAGAGCATCCAAAGGAGGGCCATAAGGATGGTAAACGGACTGGAGGGGAAGCTGTATAAGGAGTGGCTGAGATCATTTGGTCTATTCAGCCTGGAGAAGAGACTGAGGGGAGATCTCATTGTGGTCTTGGGCTTCCTCATCAGGAGAATATGAGAGGCAGGTACTGATCTCTTCTCTCTGATGACCAGTGACAGGACTCAAGGAAATGGCATGAAGCTGAGTCAGGCGAGGTTTAGGCTGGATATTAGGAAAAGGTTTTTCACCCAGGGGGTGGTTGGGCACTGGAACAGGCTCCCCAGGGAAGTGATCACAGCACCAAGCCTGATAGAGTTCAAGAAGTGTTTGGACAACACTCTCAAGCACATGGTGTGATTCCTGGGATGTCCTTTTCAGGGCCAGGAGCTGGACTTTTGATGAACTTTGTGGGTTTCTTCTAACTCAGTATATTCAATGATTTTATTACTTTTGTCTGTGAAACACCCTGGTGACTGGTATCCTGAGGGAACAAGCAGTAAAAATATTTTGATGAGAACTCTAGGCCATGCTACAGATTTTCCATAATTATTATTTTCTGAACTTTGTTCACATTACTAATCAAAAATTAAGGTTTATTACCCAATTCTCTATCTTTGTCGCTCCCACTGCCCTTCCTCATTTTTAGACAATACAAAGAAAAAATTTACAGTATTCTATGTACAGAAGGGCTGAACTTTTTCCTATTCCTGCATTTGGATTATAGTTCCTAAAGCTACTCTATCCTTCTGTGTGCCTACATGCGGAAATAAGTTACAAATAGGGATGTCTTTTTACTTACTTTTTCTTAAAATATGTTTAATTTTCAAGTATTTTTGAGACATCTAGTTTAAATTCTAGTTGGTGACTTATTTCACCATGTCTTAATTTGCTGCCTGCTTTCTGGTGGGTTTACTGCCTGTATTTTAATCTACCGTTGCATAAAAATATTTACAAACTATCATTTACTATCGTTGTGCAACTACACTAAAGATATCTGACTTCAGCCTGCAGAAATATAGCTGATAAAATCACCAATTCTTGCAGCTGAACTTGCTAATAAATTAAGTCTTTTTAGAAAAAAATCACTGAAAATATACCTGCAGCATGTGCCAAAAAGTTCTGGGTAATTCATTTATGATATGACAGATTTTGAAATATCTCAGCTCAGCTATAGGAAAGAAACAATTTCCCCAACTGTTAATCATAGAGTTGTGGAACGGTTTGGGTTGGAAGTGGCACAGAAAATCATCTGGCTCCAACCCTCCCGCCATGAGTGGGGACACTTTCCACTAGACCAGGTTGCTCAGAGCACTGTCCAACCGGGCCTTGAACTTCAGGTGCACTGCACACTCTGTACCAACTAAGAAAAGGTACACAGATGCCTATTAAAGTGAAAACAAAACTAGGAAAGCAGATATCATCATAGCTACTTTTTGTAAAGCTGCTTCTGGCTTTGTTAACAAGCTCTGTGTTGTTCATCTGTCTTCTTTATAACCTGAAAAATAATCTTAAAATTTTGTTTAACCAGAATCCAAAACCATATGCACTCAAGAGACAGGTTTTCTCAGATTGGATTTAAAAATATCTTATTTTTCTATTACCCTTGGAAGGAAAACCTCCAAGGGTTGATGATCACCATGGCCAACCTATTTTTGGCCATTCCTGAATGTTTTAAAGGATCTCTGCATGCAGAGCCAGGAAAACCATGACGCATGTGCTCAGAGGATTAATCAGCATTTTACACAGTTCGGACAAACTCCAGTAGGGGACCTTACTAACGTGTCAAGTGAGACAAATTGCTATGGTCTCCAGCAGGCTGTAATATTCCTTACCTGTCTCTAAGTGGCAAGTAGGTATAGTGTTATTTGTCGTTGTCGGGACGGGCACCACACTGGGATTTCACGCAGAAAAGCCTTTATTTCATACAAACATGGCCAATTTATAGTCTTTTTCTAGCCAGCGTGTTTCATTACTATTGGTGTCTCTACTACATAAACATGTCAAGATTGGCTGCTCTGTAGCTTCTGCAAACTCAGGGTGACTCAGCAAACAGTTTGGGCTCTCTGGCTATCACAGCTGCCCCGCAGCTCTATCCTCCCTGTCCACCCTCTTATCTTCAATATTTACATTCTTTCACAACTTCACAGCTGCAATGGCTCAAATTCAGGGCCCAAGCTGCCCACAGCTCATTGTCTCCCACTCATTCCCTGCAGTCCCCCTCCCCCAAAAGGCACACTATTCTCTAAAACTGTAAAAATTGAATAAATTTCTCCGAGTCTCTTCCATCTGTCTGAATTCTGGTCAATTAGCATAAAGGAGGGAAATATCCCCATAGTATTACCAGGTTGCTCTTAAACTGAGTGGGTTGGGTCATCAGAAATGAATGATTAATGAAACTACCTGCCTTAGAAATTTATGCTATTGTATAAATACTTACGTGCTAGTATGAGGGTGAGCAACACTGTCCAAAGGGGATCAATCCCATTTTTATCTCCTTGTGTTATGGGGATTGCAGAGCTCTCTCTTTGGCTAGGTCTTATTTTTTATTTTTCCTTTTTTTTTTTTTTTTAGGAGTTTTCTCTGACATTTCTGTACAACAGCTTCTTAGAATTATTTCGAAGATGGCAGAACAGTGATGGTGTACAAAGTCTGACCTGAAAAAAGAGAAGAATATTGCAAAGAGGAGTCTCTGCACTAGATGGATAGAAGTTTGGCATGAACATCAAAGATAGAATCCTGAAAAATATTGTTTCTTCTAATAACAAAGATGTAACACTGTAAAGTTAGCCTGAAAATAGACTTATTCAGTCTTCCACTCCTTTTTGTGCTGAAAATTCAAATTATTTTCACTTAGATGAGTGCTGTTATCACAAGGCTCTTTCTGACCTTGCAGACTGAGTAAATGCTAACTCAAACAGCAAAAAGAATAATTTTATCCCCTCCCTACCCTCCAAATTCACAACTTCATTTATGTGTGTACGTAGGCACACAACTTCATTTATGTGTGTACATAAGCATATAGATGAACAAGAGGTGTGGAAGAAATTCCGTCACCCTAAAGTATGAGGATCAAAATCACTCAACAGAAGACCAAAACTTGTGTGTTTCTTCCATCTGAGGAGCAAATACTTCCCAAAACAGCTATTTAACAAAGCCACTTTGTTCATACAGATATGTTTTGTTTATGCAGAGATGTTCAGTTACAATGTGTACAGTATGGGATAGAAAATAGGAAAAAACCACATTATATTTATTACCTTTTTTTGAAAAAAAAAAAAAAAAAAGACCCCAAACCTAGTTTATTTTGCTGTTATTCTGAAAAGCCAGCTAGTGGATATTGGGGTGTTTTCTGTATAATTTCCAGAGCTGCCACACCCTGAACCCATTTTTTTAATATACAGTGGTGGGCTGGTCTCAGCTAAGGGTTACTAATTTTTTCAGGAGCTCACCTCTAATTTTAGTGAATCAACTGATGGATGCGTGTAACACTCAATATTAAACCAGAAACTTTCTTTATCCTGTAATCAGAATATAGGTAATGTATTAGTCTTGTACATTAGATATTAGCCTAAATACTAGCATTTCTCGAAAACACAATATGTTTGGAGGACACCTGATACATTAAATCAAAATCTTTTGTCATTTAAATCTTTGAATACTGAGAGACCTCTGCTAGAATTTGGCCATGTTAGAGGAAGATAAATTTTCTTCTGGAACCTTCTTGCTCCATTGCTAAATTCTTCCTTTATTGCATAGATTTTCTAGCATAGAATTAATTTGATTTAACTTTTCAAGGTGCTTTTCTAAACCTTAAAATTGCACAACCTTTCTCAAGGCAAAGGTAATGCAATCAAGAGCAATAGTAAGAAAACCTGTGGCTTATAAAGAATTCATTTTAAGTCCAAATTCCACCACATACACATAATTTGCATCTCCATCATATCAGTCTAACATATCAGTGGTACAGCAAACACAAATGCACTGAGGGAATGCATGGATTTATAAATATAAATAGGCAACTACATTACTAATCCACTGGATCATATAACATTCCTAATCAAAGCATTTGACATGAGAACAAAAAATATAAAATAACCTGTAACACCTTACAAGAAAAGATAAAAATTACAGTATGATCCAATTTAATACCCTCTAAAACAGATATTCTTAACAATCCAGGCTTGATGCTGACAAACTCCATGATGAACTGCAAAGTTTTCTCTTTCCGTGTAAGTTCACCATTCAGCACTATTTACAATCAATGGAGGAAACTAATGAAAACATTGAAATAGCACAGATATATTACCATGAACAAATATCATAAACTCTATGTTTTATCTTTCGAAAAGCTTCTGCTCTTTAATAAGATTTAGCCCCTTACTTTTAATCTCATATTGCAGGAGCAAGAAAATACCCGGTTCTGCTCTTGCATGTTGAAGTGTTGTCATGGATACACAAGCGTGGTCCATCACTTCCACCAGTAAATAAACAAGATTCTCAGAGTGCTTGACAGGATTTACTAGCTCTGTCACATTGTTAGCTGCACAGGGCTGCACATAAGCAAATGGCTTGTAGATTTAGAATATCCAGGGCAGCATGGGGCATACACACATGATATCACAGAATCACAGAATATTTAGAGTTGGAAGGGACATATTTTCCTTTAGAAAAATCAAAGGGCAAATATTATGCTGTATAACTTTACTCTCCTCACTTTTTACATTAGTTAATCTTTTCCTTTTCTTTTTCAAAAGACATTTATAGATTATACAAGGGATGATTCTCTAATGTGACAGGCAACCTGCTAAATGCTTAAACAAATGAGTAACATCTTTACATATATGAATAAAATGCTGTTTATTCCTCTTTTAGAAGAAAGGTTGTTTTAATGTGTCACCTTACTGTTTGGTGGTATTGCCATAGTCTTTACTGCAACAAAGTCCTCTCTCAAACCAGAGAGTGCAAAAATAAGTTCAGTCTTACCAGTACACCTGTCAACAGTTACAACAGGCTTGACTTGATTCTAACAAATCAGCATCTTATGTTGATGAAGGAATGTAGATTAAATGCCTTAATCTTCTGTTTCAAGAAGTAAAAGCACAGATAGTTAAGAATTCTATCTTTAGCATGGATTTGTTTTCCCCCCTGCTCTGTGACTTCTTTACTTACAAAACTTACACTGAACTCATCAGTTGCCTTCAGATGGAGAAAGTGCTCTATCTGTTCTTTTATTTTTGGCTCAAAGGTGGTTCGTTTCCGTGAGGATTAGGGAATAATCCTCATGGATCTGAGCAAAATCACTTTACCTTCAAGCGCACATATGTTTCTGCTAAGCTCAGGAGTGTCCAACATCTCCACCAAGAGTGGGTACCAAGTTTCTAGCAAACAGAATTCTTCACAGCATATGAAATTTACTTTCAAAAAATATTTTGCCATTAGCACTCAACTGCTACTGTATTTACTGAAAGCAATTACAGGGAAGAAAAGAGCCCAGGGAAAACAGATTGATATGGTGAATGGACATTTGTGGCTCTGGCTCTTTGCTTATATCAGTTGCCCTTTGCTACTTAAGAGACAGTATTGCAAATCCCATATGTCTTGTGTGTAACAGCCACGTGGGCTCCTTTGGGCACAGATATCTCTCCTCTGCTTGACAAGTACTCGGCACACTGGGACACTCAAGGAAATAAACAAAAACTCATAACAATTAGTGCAGTCTTTTATCTCTTTCCAGTCCACATACAGGCTAGGGGATCACATTCAACTCTTTCAATCCACGTGGATCTGGAAAATACAAATATCTTAAGTTGCTAATCTATGTGTTTAAACACTCAAAGCTCCATTTAAAGCAAAAGAAAAAAAACCAACTGGTTAAGGCAGCCACAGTGTGCTTCCAGGAGAAACATCAGCAAATATTGATTTGTTAATTTATTCCAAAATTAAAGCTGAAATCATTACCTTTTTTTTCTTTTTTTTTTCTTTCTTTTTATTTCTTTTTTTTTTTTTTAAGTGAAAGAAAAGAACAGGAGAAAACAGATCAGTGTGTCTTCCAAGACAGAAAAAAGCATAAAGATACCTCTCAGAAATCTACCTTCTTAGATTACTGCTTTTCAGGCCCAAATACAGAAAAGATTTCCATTCTTTGCAAAATAACGCTACAGTCAGTGAGCAGGCACCACTCCTCCTCTCTCAGACAGCACATACAGTCTACAAAGCCGCACTTTCAACTACGTACCCAGTGCTGAGAGAGTTAATTTAAATTTGATAACAAATGGCTCTGCTTTTGAAATGAATGTAGCCTGGCAACTTCAACTGAGAACCCTTCATAGGGCCTCAATTATGTATGCAGCTTCTTTGAGAAATAGTTTCACACATCTGACCCAAGGCCCAAGATACTGTTGCCATGAAATAAGACTGTATATAGGAAAGGGTTCATTTCTGTAAAATCTCCTCATTTCTCTACTACCGCCATCCCGGTAGGTGCACATGTTAAAAGACCAAACAAAATTACTTATTTTGGACTGGTTTTTTGCATTTCATTTATTGTCTCATCCACTACCATCTGAATACAAATTTAACACATTTTTGTATCAGCATTTAACCTGTATGCTCGGGTTTGTTTTTTTTAGGAATTTCCAGTCACTCTGCCCAGCTATGCTGATCAAAACTGCCATGTGAAACCGAGACAAACAATGGGTTAAATACCCACACCATTTTATTTTATTTTTTCCCTCTCTCCCCTCAAAATGGCTGTCTTTATCTGTATGCACACAGCAATAGCAAATGTTCCTCTGTTATTGTACAACCAAATTGATGTGTCAAGTATTCATATGCTAATGGAGGTACAGTTTCTCACTTTTTCACAGATAAATTGCAAGGATTGTTACACACAGTGAAACACAAGAATAAACAGCTTTTATTTCAGATGTGATAAGTTACTTTCCATTCAAAAAACATGTAACACATGCTACTGACCATTATTGGTTTTATTCATTGCCAGTTTGCCTTCTGTTTTTCTCTCTTAGAATGGCTAGAAAATATTTAGCAGATACAGCAAAACTTGATACAAATAATTTAATTTATTTTGCTTTGCACTTTCATGACATGAAGTTAATTTTTGCTCAGTTATCACCAGTAATGCAAGTCATGCAATGGGGACAGTCATTGTCCCCTCTGGAGCATTCGTAATTTTTTAAAGGTTGCAATAGATGAGATTTGGAGATTGGGATATTTCTGTTCATGCGTTAACAAAATATGCCATCGTATGCATGCCCAGAACCCATTATTTAGGAATATTACTGGTAAAAGATTCCCTACATATAACACAAAGCATGAACAGAAGAAAATAATAGCCAACACCTTTTTGTTCTGTTGAAAGATCAATATCTATTCAAAACCCAAAAATATTAGAAGTTAAGGATGATAATTTGTGTTTTGTACCTGAAGTAAAATAGGACTGTTTTCAAAGGCCATATTTTATAAATATCGAAAAAGTATTTGGCACAGGTAAAACAAACTCATTTATTAAGCAAAAACTATTTTTTAAAAGCATGAAAGTGGGTTTACATTTCTAGTAACTGAAGATGTGTGGGTTTATGTAACATAGTCAAGGATTATATCTGTGTCCTTGATTTAGATATGACAAGAGATTTAC